CTCTCCCCAGCGCCCCCACCCCGGACCCAAGCCGAGGCGGACCCAGGCCCCAGTCCATGCGTGGCACCCCCGGCTGGGAAGAGTGCCGAGGGCAGGGAGCCCCTTCAAGCAGCGGCGCCGGAGGAAGAGGAAGAAGGGACAGTGTTCAGCTGGGGCGGCCCGGACCCTCCCCGCTGCGTTTGGAGCCGGTGGCAACCCCGAAGTCTGCACTTGGCACCGCTGCTCGGACTAGGACCCGGCCTGCTGGGGCCCCGGCCCGGACCCCCTGCGCTCCGTAGGCGGCGGCGCCTCGGCGCCACCCGGCTCCTCCGCGGTCTCCCGGTGCTTGGCGGCAGTCACGGCCAAGGTAAGAGTCCCGCGGTTCTAGAGAGCCGCCGCGGGGGCGCCCTGGTGAGATGCTCTGGACAAGTTCTCCGAACCTGTAGCTGGTACCCCGGGTACTCCAGATCCTGGCGAAGAGGGAGGGAGCTAGGGCACACCCTCTGCTGCCAGGACCCCGAGCCCAGGAATTGCAGTCCTCCGTGGCTCTGAGGTCCCCGGGACCTGTCCTGGAGCCCGCCCCGCCCCTAGCGCCCTGGCTCCCGACGGAGCGAGCTTGGAGTTACCGGTCACACCTGGAGGTGATGCCCCTGCGCCGCCCCTCTTCTCCCCGCAGCATCTCAGCTGTACGCACCTGTGCTTTGGGGGGACCTGCTGTATTTGGAGTGGAACCTCTTGGGCAGCCCCCACCTGCCTTTCCTGGCGTGGTGCTGTAAGGAACTTTTCTTTGCTTCTGCTGCCGAGAGTCTGCTGAGTTGGGGGTGAGCAGCCACAGCTTGCGAGTCCCTCAGCAGGACACAGTGGTTGGGTGGCAGCGGTGTCTGCAGGCAGGAAACCCAACCCGAGTGTCAGTCCCCTTGGAGAAGGCTGCTGGTGGTGATGAGTGACTAACCAGCAGTGACCCAGACAGTTCACGCATTTCCACTCTTTTGTGGCCGGCTGACGCCAAAGTTTGTGCATCCTTATTCTGTTCAATGTGTTATTGCCTCTTTGGAATTTTCCTCCTCAGAAGGCAGGGTTCTCGAGCCTACCCTTGCCTGTCTGAAGTTTATTAAGCCTTGGAGCTTCCCCTGGAACAATCCGGTTTTAAATGGGTCACTTCGGAAGGAAGGAGCGTGGAATCCCTCCCTCCAGGTGACCCTGTTTAGTGGGGATGAGGTTTTTTTTTTGTTCCTGAGCTGATGTGCCTCAGCTGAGCAGATTCTGTGGAAATCTGAATCCATGAGTTTGGTCACTCAGTCCATTAAAATGATCTCCCGAGGGAGCGAAATAGCAGCTTACATTTTCTGTGAGTGTCACAGGAAGTTTTACGGGGGTCTCATGTAAGGCGCCCCCACACGGCAGGGGCTGCCTCCTTGAGGGGAGGCGCTGGTGGAGTGTCCCCTCACTCGGATGCAGATACTTCCCCTCTGACAGGGTAGAAGGCCGAAGTGCTCATTCACTCTTCACTCGTGGTGGCAGGCAGTCAGCTCAGGTTAATTTTTCTCCTCACCTCTCCTGTCTTCCCACCTCCAGAGTCAGCTTTGATAGACTTAAGATAAGGGGAAATTCTAAATTAGGAAAAGAACAAGTGGTTTCTTTTCTCATCTCTCACCAATGGGTGACATGAATGAATTACTCCCGGACATGCTGAGTCTTCACGGGAGCTAAAACAACAACAGACTGGTTTGAAGCTTTCACACATCCCTTAGGGTACCTTCATTTTTCAGTACTTTACTGAAAATTGCTTGAGGAGAACACGCAGTATTGAGCCGGGGCCCTGCTAATTCCACCTTGGGAAGAAAACCCACTGAACAGAGAGGCAGAAAGTCACCAAGATTCAGGTCTCAGTGAGCTTTCAAGAGAGGGGTACAAAGCCTCACCCCCAGGATAGAGAGCTTTTTAAAGAACTGATTAGATCCCTGGACAGTGGGCAAAAGTCAGTAACAAGTGGGGGCGCTTAGCTCCCTTCATGCAGCTTGCGGGGTGGTGGGGGCTGTTAGGTGTGCATTGCACATTCCTCCACCCTTTGAACCGTATCTCGAAGGACCTGGAAGTGAAATGAAAGGTCTTCATCATCTGCTTGTAGGTCCCCGGAGTGTTTTCGTGCCTCGGGGAGGATGCGCTGGCTCTCTGGGTTGGGGTCCCTGAGCTATGCTGGCCTGGCCTGGCCATGCAGGAGAGTCTGCTGCATCCTTGAGTCACCTACAGTGGCAGGACACTAGGGGGGACTAGTTTTCTATTCCACACAAGCGCCCGTGCTAGGGCTAAGCTTCATTTGACGGCCCAGGCACGAACTTTCCAGCACCCAGTGCAGGCTGCACTCTGCGCTCGTGAGGGGATTCCATGCTTCCTCCTGGGCCTCTCCCACCTGAGGGGTCATCTGTGTAGCTCTGCACGGGTTAACTGCACAGTGTTGGGTGAGTCTCGAAGGACACAGAGTGTCTCAGTGTAGGAGGGCTGTACATTTTAGGGAGCTCGAACCTCCTGTGAACACCAACCTTTGGCACTGACCGTGCTCACTTTCATCCCTGATGCTTCGTCATCAAAACAGCCCCCTGTTTCCTTTTTTGGAGAGCTGGTCCCCTGCCGTCTTCATGAAATCACATTCCCTTTTGTTCTAGATGGAGTCCAGAATGGACGCCATTAAGCTTCAAATTTCTCACTGTCACCCCCTCACAAGTATGCCCGTCGGCTTCATACAGGATATCAAAATGTCAGACAAGAGAGTTGCATTTTTGTCTCATAGGTGCTCTGTGCTTTTCATATTAAACCATTAATGTCTAGGCTTCTTCCATCAAGATTGGAAAATAGTTCTCTTTTGCTGAAAAGAGGGAAGGTCCGGTTACCCAGGTTTGCCCTCAGGGGCTGAGTCTTTACCAGGCTGACTCCAAAGTGGGCACGCAGGAGTGGTGAGAGGGGCTGACCCCCCAAAGGCAAGTGTCGCCCGCATTCCGATCTCACTGGGTTCGAAGAGGCTCAGCTCCCCCATAAGGCATCAGACTCAGTGTTTGGAGCCTGTGAACCTGCTTGGAGAGTTCGCTTTGCCTAAACCCTGGGGTCTGGTTGACCTTTACCCCTGTGCAGTGCGCCTCTTTGGTAGTTTAAGGGGCCTTATCGTTGTGGTCTGGGGTAAATGGTCAGCATAAAGCCGTTTTCTTTCTGCTACTAAGGCTTGATAGATTGATTCTCAAAGGTGCCGTATAGTCAAGGGGAAAGAGGCTAGAATGGGAAAATACTATTGTGTTTGCCATTGAGCGTCAACTAGTGAAAACTGGACCCACAGAAGATCCAAACAGAGTGCCTAGGCATGAATGAAGTCTTGTGTATTTCAGAGAAGCCGAGGGCAGAGGTGGGTATTGGTCTTCCTTAGCTTCCACGAATAAGGTGACGGTGTCTTTGCAGCCAGGGATTCTCAGAGGGTGGGGAGCACGGGGGGGCCCAGGGGACCGAGGGCTTCAGTTACCCTGACACTGGCACACTGTGGTGACACAGTCTTGATTCTCCTCTGGGGAGCACGAGACATTGAGGGGCGCTCAGGTCTTCTGGGCCTCTGTGGCCAGACTGAACCCGCCAGTAAAGGAAGGCTTCATTCACTGGGAATGAAGATGGGAGAACTTTTTTCCATTTAGTTGAACAAATAAGAAGTGAATACCCATTATGTGGTAGGTGAAGTTGCACAGTCTTTTGGGAGTGACCGGCATCGGACCTCTGCTGGGAACGTGAGCTTGAGCACACACATCTGTTCAGAGGACGAGTTTGAGTGTGCAGGCGGTAGAAAGGAGAGGCATGCAGACAGAAAGAACAGTGTGACACCCTGAAAGTGTACACGTGTGTGCTGGACAGGCTCAGCAGCGAGTGTGGCTGGAAGCTGGGATGTTCTGGATGGGGGAAGCCTGGTGTTCCAAGGGGAATAATTTAATAGAATTCCATGCAGGGGGCTGTTCCTTTGCTTCAAGCTCCTTGTATTCAAGTGGTGGCAAGAATGGTTGCTGGATAAGATCCAAGAATACTAGCTGATTATCCCACATTGTTATTAAAAACAGAAACAGATTTCTTTTGTGTCCATTTTCCTTCTACATATAGCATTTTGCCCGTTCTTTAAAACACTATTAGCAATGTAAATAAAGACTGGGTCCCTTATCAACCCGTAAGTCTGCCCTCTTGTGTACATGAATTACTTCTGGGGCTTTCATTATGTGATTATGCAGCAGTGGGAGAAATGACAATGGAACTTGACAAATGATATCGTGGGGGAAGCAATCCTTCTCGGAGAGACCAAATTCCATTTTGTCAGACTCGCTTCTAGGCTGAGTTATGGACGCGTTTAACACTGCAACAAGCTTCTTCATTGGGCACAGTGCATTTCTGGCCTTAACTTTGCTGCTGGAAAAGGAGGAGATTTGTGACATTGAGGAAGGGTTTGTGAGTGCATATGTGTACATGTGTGTGATCGGGGGGTGAGGGAAGTATGTAGTGAGAAAGAAGGCAGCACTCTAACTGCCAGAGGATATCAGAGAGAGTGGAAAATCACAGCTGCAGGAGCCATCCCCAGGGCCAAATATGTTTAGTTTTGCAGAAGCAGAAGCCAGAAGGACATTGAAAGTAAAAGAAGCTTCTCTCTCTTGCTCAGTAACTAGGAATTTAGGGGCCTGAAGGGGGAAAGGACTGTCCTAAGCTAGTTAGTGGCAAAGCTCACGCTACTTCCTTTTCCCATCTTCCTACCTCTGAAATGGGAAGGTTACCTGCAAGTGTGCAGTGCAGAGAAGAAGAATCTCACGGTCTGCCTTTGCCTGGCTGCTTGTAGATTCTCTGTCACTGCAGACCTCACCAGAACATCTCTGATATTCACACATTCCCAGCGGCTCTTCCCTGCCCACATCTCACATATGATGGAAACTTGTTGGTTTAGGAATGTTTGACTATTCTTTGAGCGCTGAGTGCTATTTGCGAACTTTTTGGTAAAAAGCAGTGCTGAAAATTTTAATTGATTCCAAGTTAAGCAGATAAAAGCTGAGGGGAGCAAAGCCTGCACTGCCAAGAGCACCCTTTCTTTCGGCTGGAGTGGTACCTCCTAGGGCGAGTCTGGAGATAGGGATGCTTAAAAGAAAAGTAGATGCAGGAAAGCAATTGTGGAGAAGGACAGGTCAGGACAAAGGCAAACCCATTTCAGGTGATGGCTCCAGTTTCCGGGAAGAAGGCTCCTTACCCCACTGGCATATCCCTCCTGCTCAGATAGCAGTGCCTTTTGGCAAGAGGAGATTTGAGTACTTGCAATGGAAGTGCAAGGTTTGCTGCATTGTGACTTCAGTATTTCAGCGAAGTATA